AAGCGTTCTCATGTACTACTAGGTTGAGTACTCGTTAAGTGAATGGAGGAGGCGAAGCCTACTAAACCACAGATGAGCGATCCACAAGGAAACACAACTCTTGATATAGAAGCATTACCTACTTCCTAGGTAGGAGTTAGCCTAGTAGGTAACACATCAAATCGTAACTCGCATGTTGCAAATGCAGGGATCGAATTTGGCCTGTCCTATGTGGGCTAACTCCTTTTGGAGTGGAGCGACCGGAAGGGCTGAAATTATATAAGGGCATGGTAAATTTCGACCACTCAATCGAAAGATCGCAAGATCGAGATTAGTCGTGCTGAAATCGGCATAGCCCCTATGCAAGGGACCTTTCTCGCGACTCTGATTTTTTATGGTGATTTGTTTGCACGCCTTGACTAGTTGGAGACTCAGGCGTATGCAGGTTGCCACTAATACAGTGGGTGGATGTAACTACAGACTTCACTAATATGAAGCCGCCAGATCGATGGTGTTTGGCTTGCCACAATGATTGGGCCACCACGCTTCAACTTTGAGGGGTAAAAAAAAAAAAAAACTCTTATGTATCGTCAACAAGGTGGAAAGTATCCAACTTACCCCGATGATGGCATTGTCATGCTCAAGCACTGAGGGGTAAAATGCACACCTGATAAAATAACCTCAAAGGTTGATAATAACAGTTAGGCCCCTTCGACTACGATGAATTGTTTTCTTGTAGCTTGATAAGGTCCCGACGTAGCTTGGCGAGAGGCCCGGTTGTGGTGACAACCTTATTGTTAGGAGTGAAGATAAAATACATCTTTGAGTCTAATCACTATATATTGGTGATTAGTGAACCCACATCTTGCGAATATAAAACTTACTAGAGCGCGATTCAAAAACCTGACGTATGAGTCATATGTATATGTTTCAATTACTATAACCACAATAGATAAGCGAAAATTTGACACGTCGACGGACCTACTCGTATGTAAAGTGTTAAGTTTTTAAGATGTTTCCCACTATTCAACTCGTCTGTCTGACATGCCAAATGACTCGTCGTCGTCATGGATGGAGCAAAACTTAAGTCTTTTCGATCAAATAGGGAGTGAGAAAATTAACTTTGGCAGATCATCTTATCAGGTTAAAACCAATCACAATCGGTTTTCATATCAGCTTGGCGTTCTTCCCAACGCTCCCTGAGCCGGTTTTATATGATTGGATATGAAATATATTGATTTTAATATTGACGTCATGTCCTCTTAATACTCTTATATTCAAAGTTTATGTTGAGGACACGGGAGTAAATAGTCATAAAACTATTTTTTTTTGCGTATATATGTTTTTCTATCGACTATGGTTGATCTACATCAATGTAGTTGAGTTTAACTATTGTGGTAACTCCTTTCTAAGTCATGTGCCTAAGGTACAAAGAATGCTTGTAGGTTTCACCCTTGGTTGATACCATTCTAACCGACCGATATGTTTTCCTACTTAGGAAATAGTGTCCTAAGGAACGAAGGACATCCACGTTCATACGACGTTTTAACCAATCATACCTGTACTGCAACGAGTGAGAAAACAACCTCGACCGATCTACGTCTACGATTGCATATAAAAACTTATGTATGTGGGTGAGTAGCTCAGTAAAAATACGCCCCTAAAGGCGGTGATAACCCCTTAGGGAAGGTAAGTTGTGTGCCTCACGAACAATTTGTCTTGTCACTAGCGCACTCGGCTAGATCAGCACCTACAACGTAACCTCGTCCGTCTAAGTGACATGCGAGACCATTTTCGAGTTGTCTCAAAGTCGTCTCTCTTTCTGAAAAACTCAGTGCATAATGTGGTCGGGAGGGCTCTCCGCTTTTGCCAAGAAAGGCGAGAGTCGATGTGCTCCACAACAGAGAAAAAGAAGAAAGAGCGGAAAAGGAGACACACAACAAAAGGTGACCAAGTTCTATCTGGTGATGAAGAAAGGAAGTAAGAGGGGCATGAGAAGAAAAGGAGAAGGCAAGGGCAAGGAAAAGGTTTTCTCACTATCAAGTAACGAAGAAAGCGAGAAAAAAAGGGAAGAGGAGCAAGAGAGGAAAAGAAGAAAGACAAGCAACAAGAGGTGATCAAGAGCAGCAGAAGGGAAGTTTTCCCCTATCTGGCTCTAAAAGCAAGAGAAAAAAAAAAAAGCAAACAAAGGTATGTATTTCGGTAATTAATAAAATATAAAAATGAAGATGCATGAGTTTCAAATCCCAGTATAATAACCCCAATAAAAAACAGATAAGGTGATTAAGAAAAAAATAAAAAAGATGGAAGAAAGACGAAGGAGAATAGCAATGGAAAAGAAGGGAAGTAAGGTCAATGAATAGTGGTTGGGAAAAAAGGGGGGGGGGGGGGGGGGGGAGGAGAGGAAAAACAAAAGTGAAAGACAAGGGCGTAACCAGGACGAAGAGTCATATGGATGGATTATAGGAAATATTAGGATTTCATAAGCTGCTAAGCACATCTCGTATGTGCCCATACTAGGACGCATCTCATTCCTGTTTCCAAGAAGATCTGCTTGTTGGACGTCAATGGTCCCAACCACTAGTATGTTCTAGATATGGCTCATTTTTTGGACCACAACATGGAAAGGTTACATCGGCAAAAACCTCTCTCCAAACATAAACTAAGCCCCTTGCCACTACCCAATATCTATGACGCACATTGCTTCCCCCGCAACAAATGCCTTCATCCTCTTCCCTCTAGCATTGCCACAACATATAGTGTCCCAACAGGGCGTACCAGGGTGGTTTGCTCATATCAACCCCACTAGTATACCGAGGTTGGATTTTTTCCAAATAAAAAAAAGTTTGATCTTCGTAATTGCGGGTAGCGCTACACCACGTCGCCCTCTTTCTCCTTCTGCTCGGTTCCAACCACTCGCCGTACCTCTTCTTCCTTCGTTCATGTATTGTCCAATGGTGTGCTTTATCTCCTGTATTGCATTAAGTGCAGATGAGATATCGTTCCTCTTCTCTTCATTACTCATATCGCCTCTTCTTCCTTGTTCTTCTTCAACTTGCGATTGTCGTTTCATCATGACAAGTGTCAATCCATTGCCGCAATGTTTGTGGAGAGAAGCGAGTTGATGAGGAGATACGAGTGTTTAACTTGAGGACCCAATTTTTTAGATCGAAATAATAATGATGCGCATTTCTGCAACCTCGCACATTCTTTTGGGTGCGTGTGTGAGTGGTCACATTTCATTTGTTTTTTTGTATGCCCTAGTTCCAAGAAACCCGCTCGTAAGACATCAATGTTCCCAACCGCTTGTACGTTCGAACTACCACTCGACTTTCGGACTACATCATTGCGATAAACTTATATCGATTAAAACCTCTTTGTGAACAACAAATAGGACCTCGTTTTTGTACCACCGTCCAAACTTGATTATTTCATATGTCCAAGCACATCATAAATATGCCCAAAAAAAAACACACAATTTTGTTCCATTATTAACTTCCATATACATTCCCATATTACGCACTTAACATGACTTGACGCATATATACCGTTGCATTTGAATACAACTGAAAATTATGCAGCTGAATTACAAGTGATGAAATAAAGCATGACTCTCGAACCTCCCTCCAAACATTGAACGACTCCTCCTCACACTACCACCGTCAAACTTTCATCATTTTGTTCCATATACATTCCCACATCATGGGGGCGGGGGGAGGTCGGGGGGGGGCCAGAGGGGGAGGGGACGGAGCCCCTCCTTCCTCACATTTAACATAACTTGGCACATGCATACCCTCACACCTGGACACAATAGAGTTATACAGTGAAAAGACAACTGATTAACATCAAGCATAACCCTCAGACGTCTCTCCAAACATTGATTGACCACTCATCACACTACCGCCGTTGTCGGAGGGCACGGTGTCCCGGCCCTCCGATTACTTACCAGTTTCTTGCCAGATAACCCCACGCAGGCTCGGTGCCCTGTTGTACAGCAGAGCGTGGGTAGCCTGTGGCTAAGATTGTTTGGCTCGCTTTGGGGCGTGATAGTGAAAATTTGGGGCAGCCACTTCGAGCTGCGTGTCAAACCCCTGTAGTTGGGTTGCAGGGTAGGTGTGGTGGCCGCGGTCACGAAAGGAAAAAAAGAAGAAAAAACTAAGAAAAAAAGAGGGAAGAGATAGCGATGCTGCAGATCGTGGTTTTCTCTTAAATCAGAGAGCTCTGAAGAGGCTGAGGCGCTACGTTTTCTTTTCTTTTTTTGTGTTTCCCTTTTATTTTGTCATTGTCTCTTCATACTGTTTTCCTTCAGCCTCCCTGTGGGGGAATGAACGGTTCATTTTTCGAATCGTAATTGCGAATAAACGGTTGAGGTTGGCTTGACCTTCCACGCTTCTCTTACCTTAGGTATCATCTGCTGAGTATTGTGATAAGGGCTCCTAAAATGGGAGTACCCGGGGCCTCGTTGGTAGGAAAGCTTATCACCTCCCATAGGACGTTATAAGCCCCCTCCTTACCATCGCAATGGGGTACCCATCAAGGGTAAGGTCAGCAATCAGTTTTGAGGGCAGGAGAGCTTCGATTGGTATCCCGTTATGGGAGCACCGCGTCGGGTCTATTGTCGACTCATGCCGATGACGAGGGGATATGTGACTGACTGCAGATGGCGGTATGGGCGCCATGAAGTTTCTCGACCCTTTTGATTTATTATTTATTTTTTTAATCTTATCGAATTTAATTAATTTTTTAGTTACAAATTATTAAAATGTAGTATTTGAGACCCCGTTCTGTACACAGGGAGGTCGGCGCCCTTGGGCGCTATAAAAGAAATTCATTGGGTCTCCGGGTTGCCGGTCAGTGACTCGCTGCTCAGTGGGCTGAAATAGCTATGCCGCTTCTGGGCCTGGACAGTCTGGGTCCAGTTAGCGAGTTTCTGGTGCAGGCTGTGTGAGTAGAGGAGCGGAGAGTTAGTAGAGGCTTTGGTTATCGTAGAGAGGGCGTCAAATGACTCTGGACAACTACAGGCCGGACTGTTGGAACCTCCTGACGCGTTGGAGGCCAATGTCCAGGGAGGGGCCCTGGATCACTACGATTCTCGACTACGACGGGGGAGCAGAGGTCAAGTTGAAGATCAACATGGAAGGGGCTAAGGAAGAGGAGATGAGGGTTAATCCGAAGCTGCAGGCGACAGTCAATGAGGCCAAGGACCGCGCGAAGAAACGTTGCAGGAGGAACGGCATGATAGCGGAGATGCGGGTAATAGTCGCATATCACAAGGTCGATACCTCTACTGGTACAGTAGATAGAGAACAGGCTCATCTGGATAGGGACTCTGGTGGGGAGAGCGAGATGAGCGAAGCGAAGATACAATCCTACCATGATCTAGAGCAGTGGAGACGAGATCACCTGCCTATAGAGCCAGTGGAGAGGGGTCCTGAGGCCGACTCGCGACGACAGGTAAACAGGCAGTAAATCCTCGCGCAGGCAGGGTTTGTGGGAGATTCACGCGAGAGAGAGGGCCCGGAGGCAAGCGTGCGACAGTAAAGGACTTGAGGCTCCGGGACAGTGAACGAGAGACGCATGGCTACGAGGTACGTGTGGGGGGAGAGACACAGATGACCAGGTAGTTACAGGGAAAAAGACACGAGCAACGACCATGAGAAAGGGAAGTGAGAGGAGGGACACGAAAGTCAGACACAAGAGAGGAAGAACTGAGCCCTTTCATTATTATTGGTTTACGTCATCTCATTGCGGAAAGGGGGGGGGGGGGGGGGGGGGAGAGAGAGAGAGAGAGAGAGAGGGCGGGCATAGGGGGGGGGGGGTTGGGGTTGGGGGGTGTTCTCAGCAAAAACTTTGCAATCTTGTGGGGGATTAGCCGGGTCTTCCCGCCGACCATTACACAGAGAGAGACAGTATCAGCAAGACATGTGTCATAGCCACAACGCGATCGGTCGGGGCGTAGAACCAGTAAGATATCAACGAACCATGAGATTGGCGAGGGCGTTGGTTACGAGCAGAATCACACGGAGAGAAAGGGTGATGCTGTATGAGTCTCACGACATGGGCGTACATGCAGAGTACCAAAGACGCAGTCCACGCTGACGGGGAATCTCTTCAAGATAATTGATGTTGAAATGGATACGGACCGGGGATTGAGTGGCAGAGACAAGTCGGGCGCTGGCAACATACGGTAACTATGGGATCTAAACTCTTTTGCGGGATGCCTAAACGAGTTTATATGTTGAAGTCAACAAGACAACGCACAGTCCGTGCCTCTCTTCGTCCTTGCGAAAGGTTAGCTATGTTCTGATGCAAAGGAGTTGATGGGAGAAGGGTGCCCAAGTAAAAGAAAGAAAACCCCGACAGAGAGTTAGTCGATTAGACACACGATTGACCGCCCTCTCGAAGAGAACTCTAAAGACCCACATCATCTTCTACGTAACTTCCACATTAAGTCGTTTTGCTTTCTTGTTACGTTTGTCGTCGTAGGGGACCAGCCTGGGGTCTGATGTGAGCGTTTTCACGCCTCCAGGCATTTAGTTGCAACCCTTGTAAACTTAGCCTCTACAGTAAATGACGGAGGGAGAGACGAGGGTAATGAGAGTGCACTGGGGTCTGATGTAATGGGGAGTGCTGGTAATGGGCACAAGTACCCTGATGAGACTAGTTGAGTGCGTACCATAGCTCTGCTCTATGTCTCTGCTTATTGCCTGGTAATTAGTCATGATTTTCTTTGGCACAGATGATAGAAGGTATTGGTAGGTTGTTCGCTTTCTGAGGTTTGTACTGTCAATGACGATGACATTAGTTAATCCATTGGACAACAATCGGACATGTCAAGTATTGAAGTTCTTGATTTGAGTCGAAAGGTCGTTTTCCACCTACTAGATAATACTGCGCTTACCCCTGATACGGATCCCTGATCGGGTCTTTTTCACTCCTGGCCTGAGCTTCTGATTTATACACCTGCTATCCTTCCCCTAAGTATCGTCATTTGACGCAACTTGATTGGCAATGTTGTTTTTCTTTGTTGTCGAGGGACTTCCCTTGCGAAAGTTCACATACTGGGGTTAACTGAGGTCAGAAGTGGGATCAAGACGATGGATTGAATTCGTCAGGGTTGGCAATCGAAGTTCTAATTAGTCGACGGCATGGTGAGACGTCCAGCCTCAATTGCATGACAACCACTTCTGACAACGCCTGAGACTATGTCCTTATCCGAATACCCCAACTATACCAGGTCTTGAAAGTGAGTTTGATCATTGATCGGTCTGGTTTAGTCCAACCCTGTCACCCACTCCAAGGAGGAGGCAGGTGAGTCGACGGGAGACGAGTGAGCCGCCCTCCAAAAGAGAGACGGCCTGAACGTGGCTTCCAGAGTACCCTACCTCTCCTTGATGTGATTGATGGGCAAAAAACAAGTATTGTTGCGAAGAATAGCTTATTTGGTGATAAAGTATCTGTTGGATGGGGACTGAAGAAGTGCGAGAGGGTTCCCTCAAGCACGAATATCACTCAGAGTGCCACGCATCTCGTTGGGGAAAGCCCCCTTCTTTCAAACTCTCTGAGTTCGTTTTGTTTTCGCATGAATAGCCTCACTTGCCTTGACTGTTGGTATTCACCTTAAACGACCATTTTGTCAAAATGGACATTTTTTATTTTTTGAACGAAATTGAAATCGAGTTTTTTGGCTGAAAACTCGTCAAAATTTGTTGTTATTGAGGGTCCAGCATTTGTAAAACAAACGTTGGACCCCCTGGTTGTACATGGACCTAGCTTGAGACCAGGCACCTCCAGGCAGGACTGCCTGGAGGTGCCTGGTCTCAAGCTAGGTCCATGTACAGCCAGGGGGTCCAGCATTTTACAAACGCTGGACCCTCGAGAACAACAAATCTTGACGAGTTTTCGACCAAAAAACTCGGTTTCAATTTTGTTCAAAAAAAAAAAGATGTCCATTTTGACGAAATGGCAGTTCTTATGCGAATAAGGCCCTGACATTGGTTGTTAGACGAATACTACTCAAGCGGGGCTCACGGCCAGCAATGAATCCGATAAAATCTCGAAGTCTGCTCAAATCAGCGGTGTTCTGCATAATGTTTAATTGAAGGTTGATACTAGTCATGCACGGTTTTTATTTTGAGCTAGACGTTCGGTTGAATTCCCACTAGTCAAGGACTCATTTAGGGGTAAATGTTAGCCACTCTCTGTCAAAGTATTGACTAGGGTAACGAGAGCTAGTGCATCACCTGACTGATATGAAGAACGAGTTTTTCGTTAATATCAGAATAGGTGACAGTTGTCACTGCTAGTTCCCCTTGAGAAAGCTCACAGGGAGAAGCTACCACCGACTAATACACCGTTCATCATTCGAGTAAGTTGTGCCACTAGTACAATTTTGGCGGAGGGTTCACGCTGAGAGACACCGATAAGAAAATCTTTGTATTAATCTTGAGATGACGTATTATGTGACAACGGCCCAGAGAATTATTTACTTACTGATTATAAATGTAAATGCCACTAGTCGGTGCTTCCCCTCCGTTTTAAATGAAAGGTGCCGTTGATTCTGAGCGTTGTACTTAGCGACATTTTTATGCACTACCAGAAAGGGCTGTAAATGATGATGTGGCATATACCTCTATGAGTGTGGGGGATTACTGCTTACCACCAACCATAATTAGTCAGACGAGGCATATCTTTGATGGTGAGAATATTCTCCAGTCGAAAGAGGTTGCTGCCTGTATTACCCCTCAGAGCAGTTTGAGGGAGGGCTATCCTAGCGGGCTCGACTTGGCACGCTGTATAGATGGAAGTTGTGCTTCAACGCGTCGCGTCATTTGGACAACTCGCTATAGCATTCAGTTGGCTACTCGTGATGACGTTGTGTCATCTCTCTTGGATTTTATCGTTCTTCATGCTCGTGAGGAGCAACTCATGAGACACATAAACGTCATGCGTTGTTTTCTCACTCTGCTCTCAGACCCTGATCGCACCCTCCCTATCATTCTCATTCGCCTCGGGACATCCCTGAGGGTGTACCACGCTTTAAGAAACTCCGGCTCACCGAAATATTTCTTTCACCCTCACGTGGCTAAGGAGCCTATCTGACTACGTTTGGGTCTCGTTCTCCTATCTCCATTACCATCGGAGATAACAAGACACAATGCTTCTTCGATCAGACGATCTCTGACCTCCATTTCTCACTTACCCTCCAGTTTCGAATAATACCAGGCATCTCGCCGCTACCACTCCTCTGCATTCTTCAATGTGTTGGAAACTCGGTATGACTTTGTCCTTAGCACTCTCTGGTCTAGCAAGTTTTGTAGCACAGAGGCTGAATGGGCGGCCGAGACACTTGTTCTCCGTGCGGTCATACCTATTGCGTCCCCTTCCTCAGCACCACGGACGACAACTCTTCTGACCTTCCTCCCTAGGACCCCCGCCCCCTCTGGGGCCCATCCCTACATCACCTTCATGTCCTCGCGTCTGTTTGCTCACTTTCTGCGTCAGGAGGATGTCCCCGTTTACTCGATGAACGTCATGGATCTTCTGCGCTGCGATCCACTCTGCCTTAACATTGAGCTCATCTTCTTGGAGCTCGATCTCCCTGACTCTTCCACCATCTTCACGGCTTTTATCTGCACTTCTACCCTTCAGCTTGCGGATACTCGTTTGGGTTCCAATGTTCCTCAACCGTCCACCGACGAGTCCATACATACGTCTCGCGCTGACACAGACACTGAGAAACTTGTGCGGCTCACAACCGACGTAAAGTTCGTTGTTTGTGACCTGCTTCGAAAGCACCACGACGTTTTTCC